TTAATCCCCTATTACGGGTAATGTAATTTAAGCTTAGTATTTGATTGCGTTGGTGATTTGTAGCTCTAGGTTGATGGATCAGGTAAATCAGTCGGACAAAACAACAACCTTACTGAGAATCCACATCACCAGGGAGAACTCGAATGCAAAGAGAGTGTGAAGCAATCCTCGATCCAGAGCATATCCAAACAGCGTGATCCCCTTGTTGTTATACGCCAAATACGACACTGCATGCACATCATCCAATTATGACAATGGCATATTGGCATAGATATGTACTTGGAACTGGTATATGTCAGTTACTGACCTAAAGCATGCCTGGCTTGAAGGTTGGATGGATGTTGATCGGGAAAGCTGATGAACATATCCGACGAGTCATCGGAGTCGTTTTCATTGCAGTTAGATTTAGGTGGGAAGTCGTCGTCGATTTTTTTCCCTTGCTCGGCTCCTGTCATTGCGCATGTCATGTTCATATGCCATCTGCTAGCAACCGCTGCCATTCCTTGGGCTCTATGTGTGATTCTCGCCGCACCCGAAAAGCACAAGAAGAAACCGCTCAGCTGAACCGTTGAACATACCTACACCACCACATCTGTTTCTCTTTAAAAATATATAGGGACTAAGATGCAGTTTGCAGTAAAGGTAGGGACATGCATGATATTTTTACCAACGTAAATGGACTTAAACGATAGTTTCACCAAAGTTGTAACACGTAGTGCAAGTTAACCTACTTACCAGGAGATCACCAGAATTGAAGAAATTTTTATCCGATTTCGAAGCCAAAACCATAAACAAAGCTGCGAACTGGCTGGCAGTGATGACAACTATGGACGCAATAATGAAGAAGCGATACCTATGACTGGTGACCGATAACTGCTTCCTGATCCTTACATGCTCCTGAAATATTTCACCACCATCAGACCCACACCCCTCAAACATCTTATGGAGCCCTTCGAATCTCAGTATCTGCAACTCGCAAGTCAACCGGAACAGCACGCACACGAGGAGGAACACGCCCGTCCGGTAAACCCAAGACCCCAACACCAAAACGAACGCGATGGAGTTCAACGGGAAGCCCGCGCTTACATAAGGCAACGATATCTTCACGGTGGAGAAGAAAATGACCTTATGAACGATTTCAACGAAGGAAGACGGTAGGAGTATGAACGCCAGGAAACGGAACGCCTTGTCCAGCTTCCACGTGTACCCGCGTCTCACGAACGTCGTATCTTCTTGCAGGGCGTCGAGAAACAAGAGCTGCCTCAAACCGTATTTTCTGAAGAAGCAGGTTAAGGTGGAGAATCCCAAGAACGCCAACGCCGACTCGGGGAATTGAACCAGAAGGTGGAAGGCGGTGGCTTCCATTGGAAATACAAAGGATGGGACCTGGAACCAGACCGGGAGGGAGCTAACGATAGGGACGAAAACGGCGAGGATGGCAAACGTTAGATAGGATACGAATTTGCCTATCCATGTGGAGTGATCTAGTGCCCACCACCGGAGGCTTATTCTGAAGCTGCGCAACTCGTCGCACAGCAACGACGTTGATCTTCCATACGATGGTTGGAGTAGCAAGGGTTGTTTGAAATTGTCGGTGTTGTCGCCTCCATGGCCGATATCGGACTTGTAGCCGTTCATGATGCCCCCTCGGTTGGATTTGGAAGAAGGATGTTCAATATCGTTGAGTTAATTTACTAGCGATTTTTTCTTTCTTTTTTGTTCATTTATTTTCACTCGGGGATTAGTTATATTATAGATGTTAACAGGGACGGTGGGGTGAGGCTAAACCACAAGTTCAAGGAGCCTGTGATGAAAAGGAAGCCTTTTTTGGTTATGAAGAAAGCTACTTGTTTAAAATTTGCATCGACCTTTTAACTGGCCAATGGTAAGGCTGATAATACACGTGAAAGGGAGAAAAAAAGGTTCATGGGGTGAAGCCTCGAGGAGAAATGATGTTATAAGCTTCGATGCCCACACCAGCTGGACCGATTCCTTCCCACAGGCCACAATTTTATTTTATGCGCTATCTGTGCATCCACCTGTCATCTAAACCTGTCTAAAGTTTATTCTTTTTTTTCTTGGTTGATGGTATAATAGAAAATGGATAAATTACAATTATGGTCATTAAGATGCTCGCCCCTTGATGGTTGAAATTAAAAATTCATTAAAATCATTTTCAGAAAAAACTTTTAATTCGATTATCAATCGTTAATATGTTCATACGTAAATAGATTAATATTCTCCCACAAGATGATATATATTACCATTTTATTGGTAAAAAATTAAATCAATACTTGTCATCATCTTATTAATTAAAAAATTTAGGGGAATACATGAGACTCAAGATAGATCAAACCGGGACCTTCAAGGGAGTTTGAAGCACCCAAGTAAATAATTAATCATATCAATTATCTATATCTACATGTGTATTATTCATAAGTTCCTAGTAAGACATCTCAATGTTTTTGTCAAACAAAACAAGAACAAAAACCACTGCAAAGAAACCAGAGATCAAAAGTTCCTATGCATTACCTACAGGCCAAAAATGAGATCAAAAGAGATAGAACACCTTAATAAATTTCATTGCCCCATGTGGGTATGCACTTTATCCAGCCGGAGCCCCCGACAGTAATTTTTGGGCCACTTCCTCAATCTCGGAACTAGTCCTCACAAGGCCGTAATTTGTGAGTGCACCCTCATCCATGTTATCACAGGAATTTCCTACTGCATCGTCAGCTCCTTTTGGGTTCAAGAGGTTAATCGGGAGGGAGCTACATCTACAAATTTGCTTCACCGGCTGTTTTGGATTATTCAGGGCACGACAGTGTGATCAGGAATACGTTATATACGGGAAATCCTCCTTCCTGGCAAGTCCTGAACAAACACCCAAAAAGAAATACAGTTAGAAGTTCAATACGGCTCTGGAAGAGCACTAGGACTCTGCAGTTTAAATGCGTGCAATTGTGTTGAATCAGTGATTGTAATATAACAGAAAAACGAAACACCACTAAACGTTGTGCATGCGGCAATTGCAACATATAAGTGCATATAATTGTGTTGGATCTTCCCCCACAAGCAAGGCCGCTAAACGAGCAAGCCATCCCCCATCCTGAACAGGTCCCTGTGGAGGCTGATGATTAACAATTACTTGACCTTGCTCAGATGCCCAAGGAACCTCATTCCCTGCATGAGAATGAGGTGTTGATTTATCATCAGAATGAACCAAAGGAGTGCATGCCGTACTGTGGGGTCTGATCTGCTTTCTTTTTCGAAGTCCACTTGATGGCACTACCTCAACATCGTTGCTCTTACCACCTAGGACATTAGGCTTAGATTCGTCTTCAACATAGAATTTGAGACCTGAATCTGCACCCAACTTAGATGCAAGGACAGTTGCAGCAGTAGCCTTTGCTGCTGGATCAGGATCATATCTCTGCCACAAAGTGATTTGCAAATAAAATCAAGCATTCAAAGATATATTCAATCATCTAGCTCATGAGAAAATAGAAAAGATGAAATCTTTATCTATTGCCATATATTTGATCACATAATACTTGAAAAAAACAAGCCTTTTCCTATTATTTAAGTGTCAACCTTTTCAAGATGAACATTCAAAGCATCTACACCTTCATGCAATATATATATATATATATGACTTGCTATATATTCTCCTAGGCAGTAGTTGGATTCTAGTCCCCGGCCCAATCAAAACACACTCACTAGTGGTAGGTTACATTGTTTTGACATTAAACATTGTATGTGATTCTGACCATATTCCATGTCAGCATTTTATTGATTATGGTATACTAGTAATTTCAACTTCACATGCCATTTTGCATGGAGTATAGTTATTACCAATACTTATTATTAATTCCCTGGCTGAGTTTGAAGTCGCAAGTTATGTGACACCAACTCAATAAGGGGAAATACATAAAATAAAATCATAAAGCAAGTAATAGATATTTATAAGATTATGTTAGTAAGTTAATTTTTCAAAACAAATTTTTAATTATTTATTGTTCACTCTTTTTCATTAATATTTCTAAAAAAACCTATGTATCGAGTTATAATTTCAGTTATTTCTACTATAACTCTATCTTCAAAGATTTTACTTTACATATTTTTTATAGGAATAGGGCCTCATTGAAAAAACTCTTTCATAACCATCAAGCTCCTAAAAACTTAATGATCATAGGAAGGAGGAAAAGAGTGCCCGAAGATTTATTTCTAAACAAAAAGATACAACCAGTTCAGTACATAAAATAAAACAGAAAACCCCATTAAACCAACCCCAAATACAACCACCAAATACAATCAAAAACACAAAACCTTGAACTCCATTAATACATTTGTTTACAAGCCTAGTAATAACATTGAACTCATAACTAACTTAGCAATTACTCTAACCAAATTAACATAAAGATCCGAGCATGACTCCGGATTGGAAATCCATTTCAGCGCATTGTAGGAATCACTCTCTAGAATTAGACTCCCTTTATCCCTCCACGTCGATTTCAAAAACAAATCTAACCCAGCATGAATTGCTTTTAACTCAGCTAAGATCGGGGGGCCTAGTCCAGTCGATCTTGAGAAAAACTTCAACCTCTTACTATTAACATCCCTGAGCACACCACCAATACCACTGTATCTCCAGTCAAAATTAACAGCCCCATCAATATTAAGTTTAAAGAACCTTGAAGGGATGGGACACCATTGAGACTTAGTCAATACAGACCTCGAAGGAGGACAATACAGACCTCGAAGGAGGACGATACAGATCAACCAAAGTTAAGTCTCTCACTAGGCAGTCGAGAGGGATAGAAATATTTGAATACTTAGCCAAGAACCAAGAAGCCACCCTTACCTAACCATAAAAAAAGATTAACTATATCCAACCTACCATTCTCGAACACAATATCATTTCTGCATTTCCACACTGTCCACAAAACAGCACCCTGCACAAATTTCCAAATTTTTGAATCCGGAACTAAATCCAACCAGAAAATTAAACAGAAAACTTATGGGAGTATTGGGTAAAACAAACTATAAATTCCACATTTGAAGAAACCTCACTCAAATCCCCCAAACAACATTGCAAGCAAAAAACAAGTGGCTCACCGACTCTGTATCCAATCCACAAACGGAGCACATAGAATCCTCGATACCTCGAACACCTCGACTTAATAAGGTAGTTTTTACAGCCAACTTTTGGTAGAGAACCTACCAAAGAAACACCTCTACTTTTGAAGGCATTAAACCAGCCCAAACAAGCTTAGACCAGCGTAATTCCGGAGTGGAAAAGCTAGAGAATAAATTAGTACAAGATTTAACCGAATAAAGACCCTCCCCGTTACCCTTCCAAGTGTAGCAATCATCCATCTCCGAATCAAGACGAACTCTGTCCAGCAGAAGAATCAGTTCATACCATAAAGCAAACTCACTCTCCATCAAATTCCTTCTTCATTGAATGTCCCAAACCCACCCCCCATTGCTAAAACATCCGTAGTTCGCAATTACCCAATCCTTTATAACAGAAGCACTTCAATATATATAATAAGTAACATATGAGTAGTTTATATATACATGCACAAGCACACATATGTACTTCCCTTCTAGGCTTCATTACCTAAGTGTTAAATTAATGAATCAACATTGTTTGCTGATCCTTTTGTGGCGTACAAATGAGCATTCTGACCAGAAAATGAATGTTGAAAATGCTAAAGGAGGATTTCGGGGAACACTACTGATGGCAAATATTTCGTTTCAAGTTGTTTAGATCAAGTATTCTCCTGTTTTTCCATTACAAGGTCTAACTATTTGTAGATATTAATGCTGGAAGAAGCAATCATGGAATGTTTTGATTTGCGTGCTAGGAGGTAAGTTGCCCTAGCTCTATTTATATGCGCTAAGTTTTAGCTGTTATATCCTTTATATGCATCTAATTTAGTCTCCTTATTTATAATTTGATGTATTACTTAAGCTATTAAAAAGTTTTAGTGCAATTAAGGTGCCATAGGTGGTAAGCAGTTCTGTTAGTGTACAGCATGACTCAAACCTTCGAGGTCATAGCTTTTATGATTGCTTATTTACACAAATAAATGTTAGAATTTGCATACTGTAACCTGATGACATTTGTTTTGTGTTTGAATACCTTTGTAACTTGTTGTCTTGCTTTCGTGGCGAAAGAAATCAATGAATGATTCATAAAATGTTGTATTTGTGCAAGCAGATAGTAGGAACAGTTGCTGCTCGGAAGAATTATATAATGTGATGCAATATCCCATTCCCAGCCCAATTTTGTACCTTGATAATTTCCAGAAAACCCTAGGACCTAAACAATCATGAAAGAATAGAACAAACACGTGGTATGAACTTTTATTATATATAAAAATTAGTAGAGACTGGTATGAACTCTGAGTCGATTGGAGTATATAGTATTCCTTGCATATAGTGAGCTGGAGTGGGGCGATGTGTAGTTACGGATGGTTTAAGTATTAATGGTTATGGACTTATGCATGTAGAAATACGAGTTATTGTAATACCTTGTGAACTAAAGGGTTATGAAACATTAGTATTGCATGGTTTTGGTAAACCTGTTGTGTTAGGTTCACCAACTTTACTTCCTATCTCTGGTACTGTGGTATTTGGTAAAAATAACACTTCATGCAGCAAT